ATTTAATTAGATAAAAAGATGAATTTTAGCTATATTGAGATTCAAACTTTTTCTAGATGCTTAGTTGAGAGAGAAAGAGAATGTAAATTACCTACATACCCTTACTTAGTGATGTCATTGATGCATTTTTTTCTTATAAGTTAAAGGTATTTTTAATATAAAAAGTAAAAACCTACTGGCAAGCAATCACATGGGTTTAGTCTCACATCAATTATTTTTCAATATTTGAGATACATATATATCAATATTTCTTTTGGTCATCAATGTACTCTCTCTCATGTGTGTACAACCACTCCTTCCTCCACACCTAGCCAGCCACCGGTGACATGAAAGAAGAGTGACGCACACGTACCCTAACTGGTCTTTAGCCACTCGAGCCCCGACTCATGGCTCTACCTAATTGTGCTTCCAACCCACATGTGTGCCTAGTTGGTTAGTAGGTCCCACCTTTTAAAATATTTTTTTACTTTATTTTCTTCATTTTATCTCAAAAACTTGATTATAAAAATTATATAAATTTAGATAAAATCACATAATTAGACAAAAATTCATATTAATTAATTAAAATTTCAATTTCTTAATTTAACACAAATATAAGTCTATTTATCATAAATTAAGGCTTAAAATATATTATTAATTCATTATTAATTCATGATAATAAAAATTTATTATTGATGAGCTACTTATATCTAAAAGTAAAGATATAAGATTATCAATAATTGGCCTTATTTAAAAGGACTTAGAACTAAAGGAATCCTTATACCAAAAAATCTATATTTTATTTAGTATTTTACTTTTATGTTTCTCCTTTAACATGTCGCCATATGGGATGATGAGCTTAGGCTTAACCATAATTAAAAGTGTGCCATTCTTCATCATTTTTTATAATTTTGATCAATTTTTATTTCTTCATCCTAAAAATCTCACCTTTGATGAAATTAAATAAGAAATACATTCAATTTTGGTTTTCATTTCCCTACATTATCATTATTTTTAAGATACACACATGTGTAAGTTTCCTTGCTAAATGTAAAAAAAATTATGTAAATGGAATGATGGAAATAGAGTAAGCTTGAAGTTGGCCATACTAATGTGCAAACACACAAGACAAGTGCTTGTCTAAGTTGAAATAGATTTCTCTCTCTCTCTCTCTCATTCTCATTAGTTGTTACTATCACTCCAAACCCTTTCAAGAGGAAAAAAAAATCTGCACCACATTGAGGTGAAATAATTATGTAGAAAGTGAGAGAGAGAAAGAGAAAGGTTTGTCTCTCGCTAGATTTAATAGACATGTAGCTTTTTGCAAAGTTGTAAACTCATTGTGATTAATCACCACCCACACAAGCCTTTACTCTAACCAAGATGAACAAGAGGAGGTTCTAGTCAACTAGAGAGGAGGACAAAATGAGTTTGACCAAAGTTTCAGGACTATTGATAAGTCTTCATTATCATGAGTTAATAATTAGTAAATAATATAGTTTTAGCCTTAACTCATGATAAATAGACTTATATTTGTGTTAAATTGTGAAAAGTGATTTTCAATTAATTAATGTGAATTGTTAGCTAATTATGTGATTTTTTAAAATTTTATATGATTTTTATAGTCTTATTTTTGAGATAAATGAAGAAAAATAAATTAAAATAAAAATATAGCAAAAAAAGGGGAACTCGTTGGCCAGCCAAGCCCGCAAGTGGGTCGGAAGTGCAGTTGAGGGGAGCCACGAGCAAGGGCTCGAGCGACTAGGACCGATGGGGGCAAGCGTGCACCACTCCCCTTCCACGTCACCGGTGGCCAGTCGTCTATGGGGCAAGGAGTGGTCGTACACGTGGGAGAAAGAGGACGATCTACCAAGAGACAAGTCACCACCTCTTGAGAGCATACCAGATGCGATGAAGAGCCTCTTTTTGCTGCGTGGACTTGAGGATGAAACTCATTGACACGTGCTCCACCTTCATCCAACTCCTCTTTGCTAGGTGACAGCCACTAGAGAGCCACAAAGTTGCTATTTTTCCCCTCCACCGGGTGACAGCCACTAGAGACGATTCAACGACCCATTTCATTTATCTCTAGACTTTGCAAGGAGATCTAGAGATTGCTCACGTCATCCTTGTCTAAGGAGAGCCTTCGAGGCCGTGGACATTGCACGATGATCCTCCCAAATGCTCAAGATTCCGGTGCATTGCCGATGCATCGCCGTCGCGATGTTAGAACTTTGTTTTCTTGCATTCAACTTAATTTACGCTTCATTTAATGATAATTTGTGTGATTTAAATTTACCAAGCTATACTTCATTCAATTATGATTCTTCCGGCTTTTACAGATCTTAATATGATCAATTAAATTGTATGTAATCGCTTACGTAAGAATTACTAGGTGGAACTCTATTTCCACCCGATTCGTTTCGTCAAGTCCTAACGTCATCCTGATGTCCGCACCCTTATTTCCTTTTTTCGTGAATTTTAAATATATTTCATTTTCATTTTCTAGTTTAAAATTCGTAGAAAATTGTATCCTTTGAAGAAAATTGTGAATAATTACATAATATTATATTACATTCCTATGATCGACTTGAAAAATTATCACTATTTTTAGAAGTTTGATTGAATTATAATTGATATATTTGTTCAAAAAACTTCTAAATATCTAAAAATTAGTAGTTTCTAGTTTTATAAATTTTAAATTTGCATGATTTCTATACAACAACTAAGTCACGTCAATTATAGATTAACAACATCTCCCTCATTCGCAACTAGTTGGCCATAAACTTATTCCCAATGGACATCATGTTGTAGAGATCCCACCACACCCTCCTTGATGGCTCCTCGCATACCATTTCTACCATGAAGCATCCTATCATACCTGTCTAAGCCACAACATACCCTCTTCTCATTAGCAAACCCTTCTCTACCATGAAGGTATATGCATAGCATAAACGAACCACTCTACCAATCTAGAGAGATAAAGAGTATTATGTCATCGCCAATTGTAGGTGCCACATTGGAGATGATTTCCATCATCTTAGCAGAATACGATCTTTGCAACGAGGAGGCGGGAGTTGAGATCAGAGAGACATGCCAAAAATAAACAATGTAAAGGACAACCAGTTTAGACCATAACATGGTGACGAAGCATAGAGGTGGTTTTTCCATTAAGGTTGGAACTAGACAAAAGATCTAGAGATGATTGGGCAACAGAAGTAGAAAAGAAAAGCTCAAGGCTATAAGAAGACATCCTCATTCACTGAAGGGGAGAAAGATAGTTTTATGAGTCCTCTAGCTCTGAGTAGAGAATTGGAGACTAACCATATTGAATCAACTCCCCCAAAAGGTATGCCAATGGTCTCTTCTAAATTATTTTTTGTCTTGTTCTTATGTGTTCCTCCCTTCTTAACTCATTTGTCTCTTGTTAAATAGAATATCTATATATTACAATCTATTTTGTTTATATATTTTCCCTTGCCTCTTCATTATAACTGGATAACTATCAAATTGGTATTAGAGCTCACAATGCCTCCCAAATTGAAAGACTCTTGATTAGAATTCCTAAGGAAAGAGTTCAAAGATTTCTAACAAGAGGTTTAGTAAAATATTGCTACATAGCAAGCTGACAAAGAGTGGTTTTGATAGACACTGCAACAGGACCAAGCTGAAATCAAGCATGAATTGGAGACGGTCACTTTAGAACATGCTAAGATCAGACTAATTAATCTTAGTCATACATGTCCATGAAGTACTTCAATGAAAATTCAGCCCTTATACCACAAAAGATGAGAAGGAGAAATTATACATTGGCAAGCCTGATGAGTGGGTCATTGAAGAATCCAGCTGAAGATGACCCAACTTTTACCCAAGGGAAGGTAAAGATCACATCTCTAAAGAGAGGCCCCACAAGCATCAAAATCATTTCCAACTCTCAAGACAATTAGGGGTTGGCTTCTAAATGCCTCTTTTGGATATGTGGCAAGGCAAGAAGATGGATTGTCAATCTTCAATGAGTAGAGCTAGAAAGTTGAATAGTTTGGACAACCACAAGATTATGTCAATCTTCAACGAGTTATACTTCATTTATAGGCTCTCAAAACTACAAAAATGTCAACCACAAGATTATGTATAGAAGGCATGACTCTACATTAGTTCTAATGAGAGGAAGTCAACAATTTGTTCCAAAATTGAGAAGACTCGTGAAGTCAAATTTTAGAATGATTGAACATCAATCAGTCCAACTCACTCTACTATAAATTATTAGAACTCAAACAACATGAGATGGTGGTGAAGTACATAAAAGGCTTCAACCTGTTGACAATCATAACTCACAACATTTCATAACCTATGTTAGATAACACTTTCTTGATAAGGTTACATAAAGACATCCAAACACATAGTAGAGGTCATGTTTAAACCTCATCAACTTGGAGGCAATGATGAAAAATGCTCAAATGATCAAAGCTGAAATTTAACTATATTAGGCCTCAATACACCTAGTAGAGGTCAACCTTTCAAATCATTTAAAATGATTATGATAAGCTATGATCTTGACGACAGAGGATGACATAATTCAACACCTCTCGACATCATGACAAAGGTAGACCCCAAGGAATTTAGACAATTGTTGCTACTCAATTCAAGGGAATTCAACTTTACAAAAAGAGAAGAATCAACCTTACAATTGTAGAAATATAAGCCTAATGTGTCCAAGGCCAAGGCTTCTCTTACAATGAGAAGTTCATATTAGGACACCACTACTAAAGGAGATTTACATTTCTTCACATGAGTCGATATTGATTTATTATTAAATCGTTAGAAATAAAAGAAGATCTAACAGATGTACCTTCTAAAGATGAAACTTTTGCCAACATCAAAGTGACCTTATACTTCCTCATCGAGGAATCAACCATTTGAACACTTATGTTCTAAGGGGGAGATCGATAGCAAGGTAGTTATCATCCTTATTATCAATAGGATAACTCATAACTTCATCGATAGAAGCGTAGTAAAGGAGATCACCTTTCTAGTCTCAACCATCCCAAGTTATTAGGCAATCATGGAACTAGGGAAGTAGCCAAAACTAAAATTTACTAAGATGTCTACATTAATCTACAAGCTATGGCTATCCATGAGGACCTACGAATTCATCAACACTATCTTGAGGGTTTAGTGGATAAAGAGTTGAAAGAATATTAAATTGAACTTGGAGAAATAAACCATATCATTCAAAATTGAGATTCATCTCAATTAAAGTAACAAATGAGGCTCAAATGTTCTAAGACATTTGCCAAAACATAGGGGTCACCCCCAATAGACACGTGGATCACAAGATCATACTAGCTGACGTGACTTAGTCGTTGTATATTAAATTATGTAAATCTAAAATTTATAAAACTAGAAAATATGAATTTTCAGATATTTAGAAGTATTTCTGAATAAATATATCAATTATAATTCAATAAAACTTCCAAAAATAGCGGTAATTTTCCAGAACAATCACAGGGATGCAATATAATATCTGGTAATTATTCAGAATTTTCCTCAAAAAATATGATTTTCTATAAATTTTATACTAGAAAATGAAAAGGAAATATATTTAAAATTCACGAAAAAGGGAAATAAGGGTGTGGACATCAAGATGACATCAGCACCCGGTGAATGCGAATTGGACAAAAACAGAGTTCCACTCAACGATTCTTACGTAAGCGATTACAGATGATTTAATTAATCAAATTAAGATCTATAAAACCTGAAAGAATCATAATTGAACGAAGTATATTTTGGTAAATTAAAATCACACAAATTATCACTAAATGAAGCGTAAAGTAAGTTGAAAGCAAGAAAATAGAGTTCCGGCGTCGCAATGACAATGCATCAACGATGCACCAGAATTCTGAGCGTTCAAGAGGATCGTCGTGCAGTGTCCACAGCCTCAAAGGCTCTCCTTGGACAAAGACGACGAGGGCAATCTCTAAATCTCCTTGCGAAATCTAGAGATTAATGAAATGGGTCGTCGAATCGTCTCCAGCAGCTGTCACCCGGCAGAGCGGAAAAATGACGACTTTGCGGCTTTCCGATGGCTGTCACCCGACGGAGAGGACCTGGATGGAGGTGGGGTGCATGTTAGGGAGCTTCATCCTCAGGTCCACGTAGCAAGATGAGGCTTTTCATCGCATCTGGTACACTCTCAGGAGGTGGCGACTCGTCTCCCGGCAGATCGTCCTCTCTCCAATTGATCGACAAACAAGCCATCGTCGGAAAGAGGACGATCCACTAAGCAATGAGTTGTCACCTCCTGAGAGTGTACTGAATGTGATGAAGAGCCTCCTCTTGCTGCGTGGACTTGAGGATGAAGCTCTGTGACATATGCCCCACCTCCATCCAACTCCTCTCCGTCGGGTGACAGTCGTCGGAAAGTCGCAAAGCCGTAAAGTCGTCATTTTTCCGCTCCACCGGGTGACAGCCGCCGGAGACGACTCGACGACCCATTTCATTAATCTCTAGACTTCGCAAGAAGATCTAGAGGTTGCCCACATCGTCTTTGTCCAAGGAGAGCCTTCGAGGCCGTGGACACTACACGACGATCCTCCCAAATGCTTAGGATTCCAGTGCATCGTTGACGTATTGCCGTCGCGACGCCGGAACTCTATTTTCTATCTTTCAACTTACTTTACGCTTCATTTAGTGATAATTTGTGTGATTTTAATTTACCAAAATATACTTCATTCAATTACGATTCTTCCGGCTTGTATAGATCTTAATTTGATTAGTTAAATCATATGTAATCGCTTATGTAAGAATCTTCGGGCAGAACTTTGTTTTCGTCCAATTCGCGTTCGCCGGGTGCTGATGTCATCTTGATGTCCGCACCCTTATTTCCCTTTTTCATGAATTTTAAATATATTTCCTTTTTATTTCTTAGTATAAAACTCATAGAAAATTGTATTCTTTGAGGAAAATTCTAAATATTACCAGATATTATATTGCATCCCTATAATCGACCTGGAAAATTACCGCTATTTTTAGAAGTTTTATTGAATTATAATTGATATATTTATTCATAAATATGTTTAAATATCTGAAAAATCGTATTTTCTGGTTTATAAATTTTAGATTTGTGTGATTTAATATATAATGACTAAGTCACATCAAATTTTGGCGCCGTTGCCCACCTTTTTTGAGGAAGGTGTGACGCAGATTTAATCCCACATCGATTGTGCGCCGATTTTTCGGGCGAATATATAGTAATGTTACATTTCTAAGCAAGTCCCTTCTCTCGCGTGTATGACCACTCCTTGCCCCACAGTTGGCTGGCCACTGATGACGTGAAAGGGGAGTGGCGCACATGTGCCCCTATCGGTCCAAGCCGCTTGAGCCCTTACTTGCGGCTACTCCCAGACTGAGCTTTCGACCCGCTTGCGGGCCCAGCTGGCCGGCGGGTCCCCCTCAAAAGTATCTTTTTTTATTTTTTATTTTTTTTCTTCATTTATCTCAAATTAAGACTGTAAAAATCATATAAATTCATTTAAAATCACATAATTACCCAAAAATTCACATTAATCAACTGAAAACCACTTTTCACACTTTAACACAAATATAAGTCTATTTATCATGAGTTAAGGCTAAAACTATATTATTTACTAATTATTAACTCATGATAATGAAGACTTATCACTAGCACATATTTTTTCACCAATCAACATCAGGCTTTTCAAGTATCTATTTTTTCAAAAGATTCAATTAGAAAAATTAGTTCAAGAAATGTTGAAGACATATATCATCTAGCATTAACAATATATTTTTGAGCTTGACACTTCTTATTTGAAAAAAAGACAGATCTTAGATATTTGTGTGGATTATCATGACTCAAAAAGGCAACCATTTCTAGCTAATCTCTAATTTTAGTCATGAAAGAGCTACTAGATGAATTGAATGGAGTTTAGATATTGTCAAAGCTTAACTTGCAATCCAGCTATCATAAGATCAAGGTCAGAATTACAAATTCCTTATAATGTCTTTTGGCCTTTCTAATTCCTTAGTGACCTTTAAAGCTTTGATGAACAAGATCTTTTGTGAACTTCGTTGAAAGTTTGCCTTCATTTTTTTTTATGATCTTGATCTACAATAGGACCTCAAGGGACATGAAGGACATTTAACTCATGTGTTTGAAGTCCTTCAAAATCATCAGATGCACATCAATTTACAAAAGTGTTCTTTTGAACAATCTCGAATCACTTACCTTGACCACTAGATATTAACAAAAAGAGCCTTTACAGATTCAAAAACAGTCAAAGTCATTATGACGTGGCCATCTCTAGTCAACCTCTACAAGCTCTATGGTTTTCTCAACTTGACCAGCTACTATTGACAATTCATCACAGAGCATGGGATGATTGCTTGGACACTTAATAACTCAAACTCAATGCCTTCAACTAGAGACTATAGGTGGAGTCAGCCTACTAACAGCTCAAGGTCATCTTAACTTTAGCCTTAGTATTAGCTTTTCCAAACTTCACTAAAATATTTGAACTCAAAGCATATATCTTTAGTTGTGGAGTAAGAGTTGTTCTTATGTAGAAGTAAAGGCTGATCACCTATTTCAGCCAAACATTGTTGAAAATTGAATACTATTGTTAACTCTAGAACTTTGGTATTTAAATTATCTTTTTATGTATGTTCATGTGTTAATTTTGAGAAGAAATGCAGAAATATATTGTTGAATTAGGAAGTCAAATTTTAAAGGAGTAAACATGTTTTCACTTTTTAAAAAAATATTAATTATTTAACAAATAAATAATATATTATATTTTTTATATATTTGTTGTTTATCATAGTGGGCTGCAAAACAACTATCTACCATGACCAATAACAATGCCTAGATTAGGAACTTATCGAAGGGCTTATTCATGTTTAATTAATATACTCATTTTCTCTACGACATCTTCTAATATGGGACTAAATAATTATCACGTGTTCAAGTCTGGTGGAAAGCAATTGTTCGATCTAACGATGTTGAAAGTGTCATGTGACAAGGAACATAAGTGAACCAGCATACAACTATTGGATATTAAGTGAGCTCACAACCACCTTTTGGATATAAATGATATTATTAATTATTATTTAGTAAAATAGATATTATCAATTATCATCACATGTAACATAAAAACCCAAATATAATTGTAATTATGGCATCTATTTTTTCCTCTCTTTGTGCGATCAAGGCCTCTAGCATTCGACAAGCTCATTCTTTCCTCCCTTTGATGCACTCAAGGCCTTTGGCAAGTGGTCAAGTTATCCTCCTCAACTCAAAAGATGTCGTCTATTTGCTTCTCGATTGATCTCTTTGGTGAGCAACACAGTACTTATAGAAGAAACCTCTATAATTTTCAGCAAGGTGTGGCATGTCCAAATGATTCAAAGTCGTCACACTAGCATCTCTAACTGCTCAGTAGGCAACCCATTAAATGGGCAGCATTTGTTTACCTTTTTTCAATAGTCTATTTTTATTTTTATGTGAACTATATGTTTCCCAATATAAACTTGAAGAACCAATATGAAAATGAATGAACGAGTTTATTTTCTCTCCTAAATCCTAGTCACTACCTGCACAAGTCTTCACTTTGAATAAGATGAATGAGAGAAGACTTTGGTCAATCAACAAGGAGTACGAAATGAGCTCACCCAAAATTTCAGGACTATGAATCACGGTGGCCCCATGTCCACAACCAGCTGCCAAGAAGCTTGTTCACAATGGTTGGTTAATGTGGCTCACATATTAAAAAGGCCCATTAATTTCAACATTAAATGCACGAAGGAGAAGAGCCCTCATTTGTGAGGGAAAAATATCTTATTCAAAGATCAATTCTTAAGGATGAGAACAGCCCATTTGTGGTCGGATTGGGTGAAATGAGAATACCCTAATAATGACCAAACTAGTTCAAGAGGACAAGAGAAAGTGGCTCAGCTGAGTACTTCAATGAAAACAACCTCATGTAGTGCACTTCTCAATACCATGACATAGTGTACAATTTCTCAAGATTTTTGTTATGTACATTTCCCAAGAAAGTTCCACCTACCTAGAGGGTCACTCCTCCCATTTAAATTATCCTCATATAATCCCATTAGAGAAGATCTTAGGAGATATTTTAAAGGTTAATCTCTTACTAGGTGCTAAGTGTTTGGAGGGCTAAGATAAGGGATCTGTTCTCTAGGCTTTTGGTGAGTACTTTTGAGGATCAAGATCAAGGATTTACTCTTTGAGTTTCCTTGTGAGAGTTTTTCTATAGCTTTGTCTCATTTAGTGGAGCTTTGTTCTCGGCTTAAACTAAAAGTCCGACCTCCAAATCATGTAAATTATTTGTGTTAGTACTCTTGTTGTAAGTTGATGATTTTCTTTTTTCCCACTTCACGTTGGATGAATTATGTGAGTAGTATTCCACAAGTACATATTGAGATTTCTTTTAAACAGTAGAAATCCCACCACACCTTCGTCGACGGCTCCCCACATACTAATTCTACCACCAAGCAACCCACCATCTCCCATACAACCCAAGCCACAGCACACCCTCTTCTCATCAACAAATCCTTCTCTACCTTGAAGGTCTATGTAGAGCTTGAATGGGTCACTATATGGAGAGAGAGAGAGAGAGAGACAAAGAGAGAGACAAAGAGTTATCTTATCCCATATTGTAGGTGACCGATTTGAAAATAATTCCCATCATCCATGTGTAGATGTCACAGAAGATGATCCCTGCACTAGGGAGGTGGGAGTTGAGATCGGAGAAACCTGCCAAGAGGCTGATGCTATACTCAAGAGAGAGCTCGTGGACTTTATATACACCACCTTGTGTGTCCAACCCCCTGCTAGCGAAGGCCTCACACATCACATGAGGAATGCAGCCCAGAGGGCTGGCCTGCCACCATGATCTTCCCTACGCCTACGTTGTACAGATCTTGAAGGGTTTTACCCCATAAATCCTAATCAAACCTCTCATCATCGACAAAAGAGAGGTACATGCATTGGGTAATGGCCCCTAGATGAGATAATGTTGAATCTAAATGATCTAGTGTTGAGATAGATGGAGAATGATAAAATACAATGAGAATAGAATAGAAACATACATGAATCTATGAAGGCATAAGTATGATGATAACCTTTTGGATCAGCATAAGGGAGTCGTCTAATGACTTGTTCTAAAGAAATGAGATTCTCTAAGATTGACTCATAATGTGCGACCCAAAGACCATGACCCCCTATTTAAGACAAGTGGTGGTTAGCCTCTTGGTGTCATTTTTTAATTTAGTTTATCATAAAATTAGAATAAGACCTAGTCTCTACATATATTTATATTTATACTCATACTTATGAGAGTGGTTTAAATTCTAAATATTTAAACTCTAATTAATCACTTTAAGTAGAATTAATTCAATGATAGCCTCATAATGTACATTTCATATTATATAATTATTCACATTGAGATTTCTAATAA